GCCCGAAAAAGACACGTCAATCTGACATGTCTTAATAATATAACAGTTGGTCCATTTAACTCCTGCGTGGCGGATGACATAGCAAAATATCAAAATTAGTCCCATAACTATAGAGATGTTTCAATATTGGTCCTATTAAAAAAATCAATTGTTTTTCTATTTTCACATAATTGAAAGGAAAAACATTTCAAGGTAAGGCTCTCTTCTCTTTTACTCCTACTTTACAGCCGTCATCCAAAATTCTGTTCTAACTTAAGCATCGGAGGATCTATCATTGAGGACAATCATAGGGCTCTGTTTTGCAGGCATCGGAGCAAAAGAAACGCATTAAGGAGGACGTCGGAGAATATATCGTCACGACATGTTCTCGGACTAATGCCAGGTACTTTATATATCATCATCAGTGAAAAAGGTGAAATAAAATAAAACTGTAAATTTTGTGTAACATCATAATAAGATAAATCTTCACTAAAATTAATCATTTGCATGTTTAGGAAGTGTTTTGTGCCTCCAAAATAAATCATGTACATATTCAATTGTCCGAAGTGTTTGTGCCTCCGATTAAAATTTTGTGCTTCACATCTGACCTGCCTATATATATACAGCAGCATATGGAGAGTTAATTTACTCATTCATTCTCCAGATACCAGAACAACACCATNATTCAGATAGATAGGTAATTATAACCATCATCATCACTATCATCGATCGATCACCCAACAATGACATACTTAACAACAACTTTACTTGTAACTGCCCTCAATATTCTAGCTTCATTATTAATATTAGCTTACCCAACAAAAACAAAAACAATGGAGTTCAACTTCAACGCCACGGTAAACCACGTCGATCACGACAAACAGCTCAACAAAACCGAACTCCTGCGGCTGGCTCTCGACTGAAGTAGGAAGAGGCTGCAATGGCTCCAAGCAGCAGCCACAGATATTAACGCTGAAGCCCCCACTGCCTATAGTGGCGATCTCGAGTATTTCGCAAATCTCTCCATCGGGAATCCGCCGGTACCTTTCCTGGCCTTAATCGACACGGGCGACGGCCTAACATGGACCCAATGCGCACACTGCCGCCACTGCTCTGCACAGCCGACTCCCTTATTCAATCCCAAGAAGTCCAGCTCGTACACCGCGTTAAATTGCCCGAACGATAAATGCAAACTGCACGATCCCGATGGTTGCAATGGATTGCCGCCTGGCACCAAATGCAAGTACAGAAAAGTGTACCTAGATGGCACCGGGACCCGAGGCGACCTGGCCACCGAGACCCTCTGGTTTGGGGACGTCCACGTCCCCGGAGTCCTATTGGGCTGCGCATTTCACAGTTACGGAGATGTACTACGTGGAGGCACGGGGACCTTGGGCCTGATGCAGTGGAACGANCAGCATTGTCTCCCAACTCGACGTGCGCGCCTTCTCCTATTGTCTGCCCAAGTTCGGCTCCAACGAGATCGGCCGTCTGTTTGTGGGTAGTGGGGCCCGCACGCCCCCATGTGCACTCACCACGCGGCTGCTCAGGTACTGATAGAGATAAAGATGTTTAGAATCTTCAATCTAATTATTTGTTTCCCTCTTTATTATTATTATTATTATTATTATTATTATTATTATTATTATTATTATTATTATTAGTGGGATTCTTGTTTTGTTGGACAAGTTAGTATTGTTATGATTCTTGTCTTGTTGGACAAGTTAGTATTAGGATTTTAGGAGCCTTATTTAAAGGTCTTTGGTGTTATTAAGTGGATTTTTTAAATGAAATAAGATTGTGAGTTTTGTGTGTTTTACAAGAGAGTATCTCGTTTATCCTTCTTATTCGTACGTTTTCCCTACATCAGGTACCCAGGCTACCACGGAAGCCTTTACCATCTCCATCTCCAGTGGATCACCATCAATGGAGTCCCCGTCCCCATCAACGCCTCCGCGTTCAGCGCGACAAACAACGATGGGTCAAGGGGTATGATCATCGACTCGGGAACAACGTTGACGTATCTCGAGAGGAGCACGTTCGACGCCGTTGCCCGGGAAATCACCCGCCAGATCAGACTCCCACGGACCAGCCATGGGTACCTTACCTTGTGCTACAAATGCCCGAAAGGCCACGCGGGGGGAATTCAGTTTCCGAAGA